CCAAGCTTTGAAGAGTGTCCGGTTTCCGTGGGCGGTTGAGCTTATTATTACGCCGTCTTAAGGTCAACCGGCACTTGCAGCGCGGCTTGAACAGCGTTTCAGCGGTCGCATGGACCACACTTTATCAGGTGAGTTTACAATTTGATTTATTTGATTTTTATCTTTCGGTTGACCTCCATGGACTTTTGAACCGGTGGAGAGAAAGCTGCTTTGTGAAGGAAGGTTAAATGAACTCTGAAGCGGAGCGGCTCTTCGGTTACCAGGAGAGTGGCCAATGACTTCGCGGACAAGACGAAGTAAGTGTGTCTCAGGGCCCTGAAAGGGCTTCTTTTTTCCATCGGACAAGCTCTCGCGGGGACGGAAGGGCTATCGACGTCGAGGGAGTTCGACTGGGAATGTTTGTCGTCTCGAGAAGCGGCTACCCGGGGTTACTGGGCCGTTTACCACCCCGTCTTCTCCCGGCTCTCGGTCTTGTATATACTTCTTCGATAGCCTTTTTTATTTTCCATCGACACCACCGTCACGGTCATGACAAAGGCTTACGTGGAGCGCAAGCTTCCTCTGGTTTTCTCCTGGAGCCCGCAGCACATTGTTCGTTGCTGGCCCGTATCTCGTGTAGCACAAGAGTCGCGCGACGCACGTCATCCGCCAAATGTTACGTTCTCCGTGGCACACAGGCTGTGAAAACTAGCTAGCGGCAGCTCATTTGTGGAAAGGTGTTCTTTACATCTGGAAGAGAATGACCTAGGCTTAGAGTTCTTGTTGAATATGCCAAGGAGGCAGTCTCACTGGCACCGAACGCCGATGACTGGTTTAACGCATGTAGTCATACCGGTATTAGGTGTCCCCATGTGTTGCCAGCTTCGATGGCGTATATATCTCGGCATACATTGCATGTTACACACGGCACTTTGTGATGTGCTTGCTCCGTTCCCTGGTGGCCATCCTTCATTCAGACCCCTCGAGTGGATTAACAAGGCGAAGAACGGCGGGTATCTCTCAGACTTCGCGGCGGACATCCTTCCAACGACAGTCAGTCCATAAGCATCACTGGTAAATGAACCTCAACTGGACATACCTCGAACATTGCCTACGTTCTCGCTTGATAGCTGGGTTGCGATTGATCCTTGGATCCCGGCGACATACAAGGTCGATATTGCCGCCGAGTACATAAAATGAGGCACGTGCATCTCGCTATTCGTAAATTGGAGGTGTCGATCTAGAGTAGTGAGGTACGCAGTTCCATACGCGTTCAGTAGCATGCCATATGAGATGATACTATGACTTCTCCAGTTCGCGGGCTCGTGCCCGCCGTGTCGTTCGTCATCCATATGCTGGATATTGCGAACAGCCGATGTGTGCCTATGAACCGGAAACGATGCTTTAAGGGAGTCAAATTGGAAAGTGTATGGTTATAACAGAGAGCTCTGTCCCCGAGGAAGCGGGTTTCCTACCGGCTCGTACCAACGCGGCGGACTCATCTGGAGTCCATTCGAGACAGAGGCTGCATAGAAGGACCGAGTGCAACATTCAGAGCGCCGGCTGGAAAGTAGCGGAGGCGGGTGGTCTTTTCTCCTTTTTTCTCCTCTCGCCCAACGTCAACGGAGGGTAGTTATCTGTGATTTTGCTGTGTCCCATTAGCAGTTGACATTGGAGAGCTTCCACAGTTAACGCCCATCATTCCTCGTTCTTCTCACCTGTCTGTTCTTGACCCGGGCAATACCGAGATGACGACGGCGAGGAATACGGAGACTACTCACTTCACTTTAGGTACGTTGTACGTGTTCTGAGACTGTCACACACACTGAAATGCGGGCAATGTTCGGAGGCTTGTTTTGGCTCGGGATTTCTCGAATCTACGGGCCGGTTATGAAACTGCGTAACATAACCAGGTGTACTAATATGCATTCCACGGTAAGTGCAATTCCCGTGAACACTGCAGAAACAAAGTGAGACCGGCACTTGGGCTTCCAACCCACGTGGCCTTCAGTTTCAGTCTGTTATTCCCTACCGACAGTGCGACCTTCAACCCAGCCTCTTTCGCTGGGAGGTACGTAAGCACCCAATACTCTTTACACTACGCCAATAGCTCATCCTGAGCCTTCTGGTCCTCGTACCAAGTGTGCTTCCATCTGGACATAGAAGACAGATGCCAAAAGGGGGCACTGGCTCTAGGCTTCTGAACCGTTTCTATCATGGGGCATTCCTTCACACTTTTGTCATGGATCTTGTTATGTCTCTTCCATGACGTTGACTGCAGTCGTGGTGACTCGGGCGGTGATCAGCGCTCTGCACGGAAGTCTCATAATGAAACCCTTTGCTGGAAGTAAAGAAACATAAGAGAAAGACCAAGGACAGATTTTGAACGGCGACATGTTATCGATTTGGCCGAGAGGATATACGACGATTATAAACTATGAAGATATCAGATTTGAGATCTAGCACCCAGCTCTGAAGGGAAATTCCATTTGCTTTGTAGTAGGGCTATGGACCGGGGTATTCGGCCGGCAGGTTGCCCCAGCTTCGGCAAAAGACCGTCTTGCGGAGTTGTCAAGTCGCGTTTACCTGCGTCAACCGGGGCCCGCCAACATCGTGAAGAATACTGGGCTAAGGCCCTCAATCTTCCAACATATCCATATGACTAGAGATGACCCAGGCGTCTAGCCAGTCTGCGCGGGCTTCAACATCAGTGTTAACAGAGGCACTGTAGATGAGGCTGTGGTTGTCACCCGGTGCTTGCTGACATATCTTTCGTAGGGAAGTTGCAGGTGTCGAGAGGGCCTCTAGCAAAACATCTGACCTAGCGACGGAGCTCAGAAGCTTACCAGCAAGACTCTATTTTGAATATCTCGTCCAGCCACCTCTGGCAGCATCGTATGGCATGGGCCCGAGATCGCTTTCAACAGGTAACCCTCGCACATGATTTACTCCCGTGACCATAGACCTAGGCATGAAAACATCGGCGCCTCCACGGATGTCTTGCTTCCAAGTTCAAATCAGACGACTACGGGAATGAGAGGGTAATGGCCTCAGGTTCGGAACGTAGCGACTGTATCTACATGGACGGGACCGTGATTCTCATGCCCAAACCTCTAACATACCGAATTATCTAGTAGCCATCTGATTTAGTTACAATAGACACATACACAATTGTCTCTCGGTCTTGTGTGCGTAGATCTTGATATATGTTTTCGCAAGCTGCTCAACTCTATAGTTACTCTAAATGTGAATAAACCAATGTAAATTGAAACAGTTTCGCGCGTCGACATAAAAATAGTCGACTAACTATCTAGGCCAGAAGTTATGCATTGACCTAGCCGACGACCTACCTGTTGAGACCCAGACAAGCTTGCCAAATTGGTCCTAACGTACTAGTCACTTGGAAGAACAGGATTATTGGGAAGTAGAGGCTCGCCCGCTTTAGCTGATCTGCTGACTGTTCTTTCACAGTTAAGCGCTCCAACCTAGGCTGGGGCCAAGATATTGGCACCACTTAGGTGGCATGGGGACGAACATATCTTGCCGAGCTTCCAGAGCTATGAAGTTCCCTTTAGATCGCATTTTGAGACATAATACAATGTTTGTGATACGGTGCGGCTGGACGCCGCAGGGCTCTACCGTAGACATGCCAAACGGACCTCGCAAACGTCGACTGGCTTTTGACATCCTAAACTTCATCATTGAGCCATGAAGCTTCAAGTGATGAGAAGCTTGAGACCAACAAGGGAAGAAGAACAAATAACTCGTTTCATGGAACTGGACAGATCGGCCCTTGTAAATGGGACGGCAGCACTCTGTCCTCATGTCATTTTTCTTCGAATGAAAACAGACCCGTACTATTGAAGTGAGTTAAACTTCCTTAGTTCAGCATGATGTGACCGGTCATACGTGGAAGTCTGGATTGCAGAGCTTCCCTCTAGCTCATAGCCGTGCATAGAGTCGTTATGCACCATCTCTTGCCAACAACGTCCTCGGCGCTATCAAATTCCAGCGGGCGAACCTGAAGCTTCAGGATAGAGTTTACTAGAGGCATTCCGGAGCACGAAAGGGAGAGCTGGCGACCGTCAGTTCGAGCATCGGACCATCGGCAGAGTGTCTGCTACATGCCAGCGGACGATGTTCCTTGCATCGGTTCCGCAAGAGGACATAACGCTAGCCCCTTGCGTGGCGAGCTCTGGAGCCATGGGAGAACCGAACCTTGGGCGCCAAACTGTGGTTCGAGTGCCGAGGAAATATCCAGAATGGAGTAACGGTGTCAGCATCTGCCGGGTTGACTCTTCATCTTCGCCGACGGATCGCCTGCCTGAGTGCTACTGCAATTTGGAATTCTACTCAACGAACCACCTGCCTATCGAGCCCCCATACCCCTTCATGTTCCTTTTAACAGATGTGATTCGTCCAACAATGAGAGTGTGTGGCCCTTCAGCCGCGTCACAGTCCTGGAGATGATGTATTCCATGTAGGGCGGCCAACCGACCAAGTGTTCAAGCTGCGCTTGTTAGTTGACAGGGTGTTCACCTTCACCTGAGGAGGTCTTGAACAGACCGGTTCGTTCGCGAAGCGTGCCGCCCAAGGCCCGAGAGCATGACCGGCGACAAGCCAGTTGATTCCTCTGGCTTCGTCTCGTCGCGACTTTGCTTGCCCGCCACCCCCCCCCCCCCCCCCCCCCCCCCCCCCCCCCCCCCCCCCCCCCCCCCCCCCCCCCCCCCAGTATCACAGACTCGATGTCAACCTCACAAGTTCCAACACGTACGGCCAAGACACTGAGACAAATCGTCCTTCCTCGAAGCCAAGCTGCTTCTCCATTGTCCTCAAATATCTCATCCCCGTCTCCATACTCTTCCCTCTCTAGAGAGACCCATCACCACCTAGCCTCACCGAGACCAAACCCACACTCCCGCCCAGACACCCGCAACCCACCAAACCCTCAAAATGGTCCACCTCCGCAAAATGATCCGCATCCGAGAGCCTCGATTCCTCGAGGCAGCTCGCAACCCACTGGCCGGTTGGCCCAATGGCAAGGCGTCTGACTACGATCCCGCAACATCTCTCTATCTCCCCTCAGACATTCGAGCGGGAGGCGGTGTATCATAAGTTATCAGGAGATTCTGGGTTCGACCCCCAGGCTGGTCATATTTTTATATTCCGTTTTGGTATATTCTTCACTCCCGTGATTCCATCAAGCCAACAAAAGTGGTCTTGACTTGCTTGCCTTACTTCCACATGCTTCGATGTGCATCCAGTCAACAACCATCCATTGATCCGTCATCCATCGGCCAGGACTTGTCGTGGCCCTCCAATATCCGAATTTGCTCAGACCAGGGAGCCGTGTTCGTCATCTCCCTCGGTCACGACGCGTTGCAGAGTTTTCAACAGTTAACTGGGTCCCTGTCCTTCCTGTAATGGTTGTCGACAGGCAAGCCCCCCATCGTGAAATACCGCTGGCAACTAGTAGAGAATGAAGAACGGCAGACGGGCAGACATACAGACGCCGAGGGCTTTCCCGTACAAGTCGATATGGTGACACCGAGCACAAGTCGGGCGTTGCGAGAGGCAGGTCTAGCACCAAGAGACGGGCGGGAGGCTTGGAGTCCCTGGACACGTCATGTAATGCTTCACGAGATTTATCAGGACTCGGTTGAACGAGGCAACCGACGGGCTCTGGAGGCGCATCCGGAGCCATAGTCTCTCTTTCGAGCCTGCGCACGCCAAACCAGAACGCGGTCCCGTGGCCACTTCACTGAGCCTTGAAGACCACAACGCAAGGGAAAGAAAAAAAAACACACGAACGAACCGTCCAGCTAAAACAACAGAATCCCTCCCCAATCTCCGCCTCGTCCCATAACGAAACATCATCTAGTCGCAACCCTATCTCGTTCTCCTCTTCATTCCCCCTCTCCTCCCTGACGTTTGCTGGCTCGTTGCATATTCGGGGGGGTCCCGCTCAGTTTCCCTTGTCTCGCGTCTACAAGCCGAGACATACAGATGCCAGAACCAAGAAAATTACACACCGAATCCACTTTTCCTTTTTTTATTTTTTTATTCTTCTTTTCTTTAAAGGACACGCCCATACACTGCAGCCGGCTATGCGGAAACAAAAAAGCCTTGGACAGAAGAAAACCACACTGTCCATCTAGTCCAGAGGGTTGCGCGCATCAGTACCGCTTGTTCGCATTCCAGAACTCCCAGGTGATCCAGTTTGCCATCCCTAGCCTCAAAATGGGAGAAAGTCCCAGTCTTCCACATAACCTTGTCAAGTGGCAACCCGCCGATTCCCACAAGTGATCTCTCGGTGGACCAAGTGCAGAACCCCCAAAAGGAGGCAACAACCGCACGTCTTGAAGGAGGCTCGGGTTCACTCATCCAACTGGACGGAGACATGGAGGAGGAGAAGGAGGTCGGGCAATCGGCGACTACGGTGAGCGCGAGTGCTCGTTCGTTGCTGTTAAGATTGCCGCCTCTGCCTCTGCTTCTCCACGTCGAGAGTTCGGGGGTCTGACCTGGTTCTCCGTGGCCGCCGTCCAGCCGCGACATCTGCGGGCCGCGGCACTTCCCATGGACTCGCCTCTAGAACGTCTAGAAACGCCGATCGAGGTCCAAGTACGCTCCACCACGTCGGATCCAGGGGAGGGGACGGACAGCGGCCGACGGACAGACAAAACTCTTTTGTGAAGCTAGCTGGCGGGCAGGCAGCGTTATCAACAAGACTCACGCGGCGCAGCCACAGCCGCGACCCGCGACACGTCAAGACGTTGAGATCGGCCGCTGTATCCCTCAACAGGATCACCGACGTGCAGTATAGTATGTGTGTGTGTGTGTGTGTGTACGCTCGCTGGCTTGTCCGCTCACCTACCACGCTGCTGCGTCCGTATTTAGAAAGCTGTTTCGACGTCTGTTCCACGAGCCTTTGTACTAGGGCCCCTTCCCTTCCCCTCCTCAACCCACCTTACTAGGGCGGCCGCCCTGTCCTCTCAGCCTGCTCCTTTATGCGACAGAATAGGGGTTCAGTTTCGGCTAGCACAATTCATAGCCTTGCTCTCTGCATTCATTCCATGACCCAATGGTGAAGAGCGGCTGTACATGGCAGTTAGGTGGCTGTCAGGTCATCGTCGCGCGTACGTTGGCGCCCGGGGGACTGCCCGAAACAGTGGTGTGCCACGATTACAACGCAGCGGCGCGTCGTGGGTTCACCGTTCCCAGGCGGACGATCTTGTTCGGGTGGACGGAAGATGCTAGTGCTTGGACATGACACACTGTATTGTTCAGTGACTCGCGAGCCAGTGTGTGCCAAGGCATGGTGACCAATCTCAGATGCGGACATCGCGATCAAAGCTCATCTCCCAATGCTCAATGATACTGCCTGTTTCCTAGTCCAATGTCCCCCCAAAATGCCTCCCAGGGGGGTTTCGCCAAGGATGCTGCCCGGGGTTGTCGCTGCGCATGGACGTGTGTTGCAAACGGGAATGTTACCGTCGAGCCAACGATAAGAAGACGCGGAATCAGGGGGGCCAAGCAAGACGAGTTAGTTGCTGAAGTCCTTTTGACTCTGTTGCCAACTTGGGTGCATGGTTACATGCAAGTGTTGATCAGCCTCAAAGAGAGTCAGAGGCTCTGGAGCCTAGAACAGCATTATGGCTCCTCTGACGTCAACTCGACTTGATGAGCTCTGGCCCCGCCCTTCCCTTCTCCTTCTCCTACGATGATCGAGTCGCGGACGGTCGTCAATGACGTAACTGCCTCCCAATATACAGGAACTACCTACCTATACTATGTACCTGTGCGAACAAATACAGATACTCTCCTGGGTACTATGTACAATATGTAAATTTATTTCGTACATGGTAATTGCTGCTGCTGCCGCTGTCACTGTTGCAGTACCTTGCTGACGCTTCGATATCGTGTAACCGCGTCAAAGCCCGCAATCCTCCGCGTCGGCAGGGATCCACCCGGAAGAGGGCCGCGTCTTCGATTGTGATACACACGGCCGCGGGGGCGCCGGAATTGAGGCTCCTTCAGGAGGAGCCAACCTTGGACTAGCAGATTGGGCCCGATGCTGGCGAGATGAACTTGGCAGAAGCTCAAAGATCGGCACCCGGCCGAGGTGCAATGTCGAGGCAGGTTGGAATCGAGCCTGTCCTTTGACTCAGAAACCGTCGTCATAGCAGGGCTCGCCTGAATCGTGAACGTTCTTGCCAGGTCGCACATCCCGGGCGTGAGGCGAGCTTCAAATCACAAGACCGGAGATGCACCCTACCACCCGGCTGCCAACTTGACACTGCAGGAACGTCCGTGGTCGACGTTACTGGCGGCTCCCTTGCCTGCCGAGATGAAGAGATGCATGCATAGCTGGTTCAACCTGGCCGGCTTGGTGGTCTACGGCTTTGCAAAGCCTCCCTTCACATCTCAGCGGCCAGTAGTGTAATAACCAGTAGTACAGAGCCACGGAATGAAACAAGCAAGGCTGGAGCTGGAGACGGTGGCCCGAACAACAACAGATCAGACGAGCTGCATTCCCGACGCTTCTCGCGCCAGGTGCCTTAAAAACAGGAGCCATCCCCCCCACCGCCATCCTCCCCCCACTTCGAACCGGCAGAAGCCCTGCTTTTGGGCATTCCGATGCGGGGCATAATTGTCTTCAACTTTTTGGTACAGACCCGAGCTGATTCGCTTGAAGAAGGTATTTCCGTGTGCCACACGACAGCCTTACCTCAGCTCAGGGACTCAGCTACCTAATATGCAGTGTTTGACCCCGAGGGGGGCTGTGGCCACTCAGCGCCGTATGGTTGTGTGTGTGTGTGTGTGTGTGTGTACACATATGTGTGCGGTTCCGAGCCGTGCACAACACTTGGGTGTGCCACTGTTTTGTAAGATTTTTCCAGAAGGAATTGCCTCGCCGGCTGGGCGTGGGTTCACATACCGCTCCCACGTGGATGATCGCGGGACTGCTGTTCCAAGTGGAGATTTTATGTGTCCTCGTCCATGTACAGCACGAATAGGTAGTCTATCGTCCATCCTGACAGCGAAGCCAGCGAAATGGTGTGGGCACAGCGTTTGCTTCCATGTGTGCTGGCTACACTGCACTAGGATAGTAGCGGCGGCCGCTGCGGCGCCTTTCTCGGGATAAAACGACAGGTTGACACAACTCTGGACAAGTTCTGTCACTGCTGCGCTAGGTCGTGCTCAGTTCCGCGAACGAGCGATTCCATGCCAGCTAAGTCCAGCAGTGAGTGTTCTATCGTCCTGTAGCGCTGCACTCCCCCCTCCAGGCCTTGTAATCTCGGAGATAATTCGACTTGTCGACTCGAGAGTGGTCGGGCAGCCCCCGTCGTGCTACCATGGCCATGCCGCATCTTGCAGGCAGAGACCTTGCTCTGGTGGAGTGATCCAAGGGGTGCCACCTTGCCGCCAAACCTGCAAAAGTGCTGCTGCTCTCGTGAGGGGTATTTGGAGCAAGAAACGCTCCCCCCCTCCCTCGTGTCAAGGCCTGACTAGCGAGTGGTGGTGGTACCAAGAATCCCGGCCGGCACTTTGCTTGTAGTGTACGTACTTTTTCCACTCGGCGGAACTCACAGACATGGGGCCTTACCGCTTCCGAAGCGCCCATCGGATACGAGCGAGTCAGAATCAGATAGTGCGTGCTAGTCTCGTGACGGTTGACTTATCAAGCAATTTACGGCTGGCTAAGAAAACCGCCCCCATCAGCTTTTGACATGATGGAAACGTAACGTGTTGGCTTTACTGCCCAAAGTTCCAACAACACGACCTGTTGACGTAGTTGGCCTTCATGACTCGTGTAATACCACCCATGTTTGTCATCTCGCGAGACGTCCGCATCCCCAAAACTGCCAACCTCCTGCTCCTGCAAGTGGCGGTCAATCGAGACATTCGCTGGCGGCATTCGCCGTCCTCACCCCGACAGGGGGTTAAGGGGACGATATTTTAGTGCAGAATCTGCCGTGTACACAGTAAGGCAACACCTCCGTGAAGTCAGCGCCACTTGTGCTGCATAGCGGCAGGGTTGTCGGCTTGAGCCTGTCTACATGTTTGCACGTGTACTAGTTAGTTCGTGTATACCTCTGTACATGTATGTAGTTTACTCACTCGACGTTGATGATGGTGGAGTCATCGGGGGA